ATCCCCTTCCAAGTGGATGACAGTGGTAGCCAGGCACCATCTAGTTCTTCTGGTCTCATAGTCATATAGGCTGCAGAACGGATGGTGTACCAGTCGCTAGGACTAATTATTTCCATGAATTTTTGGTTTTCTTCATTCTTCTTTGCTATGGATGAGGAGAGACCCATTGTTGCATCTAGATGGCAGCTTGCTAGCTTTCAAGATCCCAATCGCTACTCGCCAAAGTAGGAGTTAGAACAATGTTTTGTGTAGTATGTTATGCCAATTGGGCTTGATGTCCCTGTGATTATGGTCCCGAGCCCACAGGTTTCACTACTCAGTCCCTCTGGGTAGCTGGCTGTGACCAAGCAATGACTACAACCTTGCCCCTTGTCAGCTCTATTATATACCTGGGAATTCTGATCATTCACATAAACTTATAAGACCATTGTCTGCCAACCCTATATATGTTCTTGAATACTTTCCCCATTTCACAGACATACCTAATCATTTAGCCTGTCCACCCATCTATCCATCAATATACCCATGTTTGTCTTCACTGACAACACAGTACTGTATATGAAAAAGGGTTCATCTTTGTTGTCTATACCTCCCACGTACATCTCTATGTCTTTCTCTTCCTCAATGCCACCATATTGATCACTCACATTTGGTATATTGCCCTTCTCTTCACCCAAATCAATACTTATATCTATCTATCTAACAGTGTTCCCTCCCCTCCCACCCCTGGTAACCAACAAAGAAAATTTCCTTCCATAGATAAACATTTCCTTGACTTTTACAGGTTTGGTGGTCTGACAGACTTTTACAGTAAGTGATTGACTTATTTCACTCAGCATAATGTCCTCCAAGTTCATCCATGTTATGCGGTGTTTTGCAGATTTTACATTATTCTTTACGGTTGCATAGTATGCCATTATATGTATGTACCATAGTTTGGATATCCATTCCTCAGTTGATGGACACCTAGGTTGTTTCCATTTTTGGCTATTGTAAATAGTGCTGCGATGAACATG